TGAGTGGAGTCGCCACAACAGTAATACCCTCGCCTCGCATTCTCATGGCCTCGCCATATATTGGAGATTTCGAAATTTCGGCCCGAACGGAAGCCACAAAGGGTACACGTGTGCACACAAAAGGAAGATTAATCATTGAATTTCGAGTATTTGAATAGCGTTTTGTGTAAACTAATTCATGCTTGATCGGCCAAGTGCGCGCGCGGGCGCGTGTGTGTGTGCGTGTTACACGCACACACACACACACACACACACACACACACACACACACACACACACACACATCTATTTATTTATTTATTTTTTCCGGAATTTTCAGAAAAGTCCACTTTCATCTCTGTTCTTGTTACGCATACAGTGTAGGCACTTAACTTCCAAGCACACTTTGCCACAGCAGTCACATTCTACTAGACAGTCTGGAGAAGCTCCCATATGTGGATACTTCGGATTTAGGAACAGTCCACAGTTTTGTGTCTTCAAATTGATGTGGTTTTTACAGTTATCTTTGATGTACTGTTGCCTGGCAGATTCTTCGTGTTATCACCCCTATTTGACTGCATCATTTGTAAATCTGTATTCATTGGGGTAACATATTTGCTTCAGCAAACTTAATGAGGGATTTTCTCAAGCTGTTGAACAGGCTGCTTTCATTCTGGATTCTGTTATTCTACCAGTTCGCAACCTGAACCATAGCTTGCTGTAGGCTTGTTCTGTTGTATCCCTCTCAACATTTTGGGCCTCTTCATCACTAACTGTTATCAAAGGAAGCAAAGAGTTACAGTGTTCTAAGAGATCTTCACGGGACATTCCGACACAGCTTTCATCAAACAGCTCACTAAGTACTCCTGGGTATTTGGCCTGTAGACTGCTCGTGATATAATGTTCATTATAATGTCTGTTGACTGACAAACATACTGGTTTATCAGCCTTTAACTGCTTGAAGAAAGTGTCGTACCTTGACTGGGACACACTTCTAGCCATCTTTTTCACAGGTGTTTCATCAGTTAGTTTACTGTCTGAATCCTGTGTATTGGAAACACTTGATTTTTTCATCTAACTCTGTTTACGTGTCTTTGACGAAGTAAAGTCAATCTTGTGCAATGTGGCATAACTCACAGATGTTTTAGAAGCAGGGCAGCATCCAGTAAGCAGGTACCTGAGTAACTGAACTGGCTTCCCTCAGTCTGACTGTGGCTTCCACATAAAACAAGACTGATGCTACATGTGAACAACTCTCTCCAAGTCCAGCCTTGCAATCACAATGTGCTGAAATCATTTTTGACTGACCATCTGTGATAATCCATGGGTTTAGACTTGGATCCGATAACTTCTGAGAGTGCATAACTCTAGCTCTGACAATCCGATGTCCACTCGAAGTCTTGCTGTAAACACGAACATCTCCTTCTGAGAGTGCATAACTCTAGCTCTGACAATCCGATGTCCACTCGAAGTCTTGCTGTAAACACGAACATCTCGTACCCATCCACAAACAAAACGGTCGTAGCTCTGCAAACTCTTGTAATTCTGAAAGCCCTTCAGTTTGAAAAAAGGGCTTGGCTGACAGATTAAATAGTTCACAAGATCTGGAAAGGTGATTTTGGGAAAAAATTGGTAATCTTCACTCCATTCAGATTTCTCAATCTGATCAGGATCCTCGCCAATAACAGCAATTTTTTCTAAATACCGACTATGTGCTTGCTTATCCAATGTTTCAACATACTTCTTGTTGGGGGAAGAGCGGCCTCCTCTCCCCCGCGTGTTCGTTGAATTTCGGATGAGGAGAATGTTGGTAATCCAAATAAAGGCTGGAGTTGATGAACAGTTCCTTCGAAGCTTTTAATAACAGAATATTCCGGGCACCCACGAATTACAGACAATGGCTGCGCGTCACGAGTGCGAAGCAGGAAGAGATTCACATCATTTTTATACCATCAGAAGGGCGGTACCGAGACACAAATTGTGATATCATAACTTTCGTTTCTCCTCAACCGATTCTCAACTTGGCGCATTCCAAAGTTTGTGCGTCTTCAGTAAGGAGTATTCCAATTCTAGGTGATGATTGTTACAAGGACGCCAAGCTACACTGCGGGCATGGGAAAGTTATACAGCATGACGAAATATGAGCAGAATACAGACTTCATTCCCCCTCTCGGACTCGTAAGAGTCCGACACCGGAAATGGTTTTAATAAAGGTATCAGCAACATCATCGTCGCAGGCGGCTGGCGCAACGTCAAACAAGGGTTGTATGGAAAGATCAGATGTCAACATCTTATTAGTAGAACAAGATGCAAATGCATGCAACAATGACCAAATGTTGATCGTTAAGGGATGTCCCTGTCCATGGTGTGTCAGATGTCCTCCGGAGCGGGGTCATGAATGAATCGACGAAAGTGTAGTGTAGGGAAGTTGGATGAATGACCAGGAAGGGGCTGTTGTAAGCGTGAGCGGGAATGTCATGGAGAGATGGTGAGAAGGGTGGGGTTGTGGCTCATCAATGATGAATTGAACTATATCGGTTGTTTTCTTCAGGACCTTAGGGTAGACTACCTGGTCCCAGGTTGATTTTCACCGGGGTTATTTTGCCCGTATACCGTGAAATCAACCTCTGTTGAATGGTGTCACCAATAGGGGCAGCTGGGGCTGGATCAGTAGATTTGGTTTTTTGGTCCTTGTCAGGTGGTGGGATCGCTCAGCCCAAGGTGGATGTGTGTGCAATAATTAGCCCAATAAAGGAAATCATATCTTTTTTTCTTTTTGCATAACCATATCTCTATTAAAAGCTTCTTCTTTGCAGCATAATCAATTAATAATTATAGGCATAAGCATTCTTCTTTGCAAGCATGATCAATTCATCATTAATAATATGCAAATGTATGATAACTAAAAACAATCAACCTAACATTTCCCTTGTTGGTAATGAAGTCTGTATTCTGCTCATATTTCGTCATGCTGTATAACTTTCCCATGCCCGCAGTGTAGTGTGCATTCACAAATCACCAAATTAGTCAGTAAACAACTCTTTCGTGTCGAAGTCTGCGTAGTGAAAAATTCTTGCGCGATCAGCACGAGCCCTCCAATATGGCGCGCCGCACAGAATTGTGGGATACCGTTACTATTTTTAGTAAAAAGGACGGAGCCCTCTATAAAAGACAAAACTTTCATTTATTAGATATTTACGAACTGCAACACAGAATCCTTTGGCGGTCGGTTAGTTCAGTCAACAGCATAACACGGCATACTGCCAGAAAAACGCGATCCGAAAATAGGCAACCAAACGCGGACAACGCAGTAGCTGTTACCGGTACAAACATGTTATGCGGTCTATGTTACGTTGAGCATTAAGGTTAGCAATTGCAGCTAAAGCTGTGTAACTTGTGTCACCCCAAGTGCCAAAATGGCTGCTGTGAATCAGTCGACGCATCTCAAATTGGCGTGTTGAGGTGCGATGAGCTGTGCAACATAGGTGCAATTTCACAAAAAAAGATATTTGTCAAAATATTTACCTGGAAAATTGTGCTGATTTTGTCAGCATTCATGTCCTCCTCCTTCAGGGTGACACGCTTGGCTCCTCAAAACAACAAGACATAGCTATCCATGGCTGCGATAGATACCTCCCGTAGTATGCTGGTAATTCTCATTAGCCTACAGAACTTCCGGGTCACATAAATAAAAACAATTAAATATAAAAATCAAATTCAGTCAAGTGGCCCGTTTTTCCGTTTCGTATTTTTGATCTGAGCCTAAAATCGAAATATGAAAAAACAGGCATATATTCGTTTTTCATGTTGGATTAAGAAAACGAAAAACAAAATTATCAGTCTCCTTTTTAATTTTTTGTTTTTGATTGGCAGTTGAAAAACGAAAGAACGAATGATACACGGATTATTATTTTCAACTATGTATTATCAATATTCATTGTTCTAAACATGAGAAAGCATTCAGCAAACATAACTGGAATCGATCAAAAGGACTCAAAATCCCAACGGCCAAACCCGGAAGTGAAGTGCCGGCATGATTGACTCCAGCTGTAATGCAAATTACTTGGTTCAAACAAACATTCTAGTGCCACCGCACAAACGTGACAACTGTGCAAAATTAACTAAATAAAAGACACCACTGTTACAGAAAGACTTTACACGCATTTTAAACTGCCGATCGCGAACGGTAACTGACCGTGATTGAAACTAACTGTGATGCCGCTCTTTATACGTTGCGCTAACTGTCACCTGTCAGTGGCAGCACCGCCCCTCTTAAAGCACCAGATAAATCCAACAATATGGGTTTCCCTGGATGAAGTTTGTTTGATTTCTTCATGATTTTTGCGGTCCTTGGACCCCTCGGACCCATTTTATACCTGTGGACGAGGGGTTAGAGCCAGTGTTGTGTCCGAGGACCGGCAACCCAGGCCAAGGCCAAGGACTTGGCTCCGAGGCTAAGGCCAAGGACCAAGGACTTGACTCCGAGGCCGAGGCCAAGGACCAATAACCGACTTTCGGTCCTCGAGCCAGTCCTCGAGGCCAAGGACCGGCTCGAGGACCACAACACTGAGAACCAGATTCCTGAGTAGCTCTGACATCAGTGGTTTCATTGCTGACCTTGTGAACAGAGAAAGGCTTGTTTCAAATCTGCCATCTTAAGCTTGAATGAGAGCTTGAACAGTAACACATCAGTGTGTGATGTGTTTGTCATTTATCCATCCATCCACTTTCAACACCGCCTATCAGGGATGCGATGAATTGCTGGAACCTATCCCAGCTAACTTGAGACGGAGGGAAGACTGCACCCTGAACTGGTCACCAGTCAGTCACATGGCACGCGTAGAGACCATTCACACATTCATTGAATGGGAACCGATCACACCCTGCCCGCACATAAGTCAGGCGAGCGTACCACTCCACCATCAACGAGACGTTTGTCATTGAGTAAAGGAAAAGTGTACACATTATTATGTGTGGAAATGTACAACAGGCAGGATTTTTTTTTTCAAAGATTGTTGCATGATTTGTCATGAACACAGTCATAAACATCCCATTTTTAAGGATTACCGCAAATACATTTGGAAGCAATTGACTTAAGTATTGTTGTAGTTTCCACTGTTTAAATATTTTTTATGTAAAAAGTATATATTGTAGTCATATTTTAGATGGATGGTGTGATTTGCTAACCCTTCTTTTCAAAGACCGACTGGAGTCGTCAAACTCTTTCAGCATAGCCATGTGGATGAGCTGGTACTGGACAATAAAATCATCTAGCCTGGTGAGCCTTCGAGACAGGAACCGAATGTGTTTCAGATCCCACTGGCTTTTCTCCATTTTGCCCTGTGTTTTATTGTCATCTTTGAAATTCTGAAAAACAGTGACAGCTGCTTTAAATCGAAAAAGATTACTGAATATAGGAGAATGTATTTCCATTCAGCTACCTGTCTTTTCAGGGTTTTCAGGAAATTATATCTCCGTGTTGCATTCTCATAAATTGTGCCAGTCCCATGACGTCCAAGACCGCACCTGATTAAGAGCCGCATGCTCAGATTTATGAAGAAAAATCAATTTTGTAATTATATGCGCCGTACCGTACTATAAACCGCTGGCCAATGAGTAGGCGGGGGTGTGCTTCTGTGTCCCTGCCGCCGGGAGCCTCCGGGTTAGGCCGCTGACGCGGTCCCCCGCTGAAAAAAAACGCAACATTTCTTAAGGTAAAAATAATCTCCATATTTTTATGAGCATGATAAATGCATTTGCACAACGAAATTACGCTGAAACACATAATAAGAGGCCAGACAAAGAGAGATCTCGATGCGCATTTGTGTAATTACGAGGAGAAATACTGCAGCCCACTAGGCTTTAAATAGAATAATGCAAATCATATAAATGGGAAAAGATATATGAAATTATTTCTATAGT